GTTTTTATTGTAAAATAAAACAGTGCACTAAGGGAGCAGAAAATATAAAGGCTAGAGAAAACTATGTATTAGAAACTATTTAGCAATTTACTGAGCCGTTGAGCCGACCCCTCGCACCGCCCCCAGACGAACAACTATTGGAAACGTGCCCCCCATAGTGACAGTGCAAGTGGCCGCCCCACATCGCTAACAAAAGTGAAAGGCCGTGGGTGAATATCAAAACAAAAACAAATAGTGAACAAAGCCTATATTTTAATCAAAAATTCAACAACTAACAAACAACAAATTCCATCCGTCCAAAGAATCTCATTTAAATAATCTCTTTCTCAAAAATTTTAAAGCAAAGAATTTATTTCTACCCTCCTGAACTTACAAACTGGTACCAGTAAATAAAAAATTGACCTAACAAAATTTAAATTGGACGGTAACTGTGACTGAAAAAACTAGGCCTAACTATGAATAATTTAAAAAATGGTAACTGTAAATACTGTTTTAAACTTTAAATAAATCAACAATCTAATAAATTACTAGAAATAAATAACAGATAATAAATAATTTAGGGGCCCCCTTTTTAAATAGAAATCTTTAAAAATCTTAATCAGTCCAAAACACTTGCGGTTCTTGGCGGCACAATACACAGTAGTCCTTGTTGGTGGCAGGCGGTGGTGGTATAGGGCGGATGGTGGCCTAATGGTCCCCGGAGGAGCTGGGCCATTGGCAGCCCGAGGAGGAAGAGGATGGTATGTTCCCCCGGGCGACTCTCTCCGAAGACAGCAGCCGAAACAAGCCTCCCATCCGGGACCTCATCTGACGACTGGCAAAACACTTAACTACATGACTGGATCAAAACGTTGTATTGATTGAAAACAACATGAAGAACAACGGCATAAAAACGATTTACACAGATACAATTTTTTATGCAAACAATCACAAAGTCTGAGATGGTTGACAGTCGCACGCCTTCTGACTCCCAAACGTCAGGCGGACATTGACTCTGGGTTGCAGGTTTGCTGCCTGACCCAAACCGACCGAGTTCCGGCGCAAGGCCAGCACTCGCACTATACAAAAACACTGAGGCGTGACATTGGTGGGACGCCTGGTGGACAAGTCACGGCTCACCGTCCATATATTACTCATGCTTAAGTTTAATTTAAGACGGAAATAGCTAGCTCATTTCCTGAATCGTCTTTATGCTATTACTCTAGTGATCCAATGAATTGGCTGCAATACATTTTGTTTAACTTAATATCTCAACAATAAGAATTCAATTCTAGGAAGGTCACTATCCCATCAGTTGCCCTCTCAGTAACGGAAGTGTTTCCTCCCCAAAGCCATTGCCCTTTGCACACCACCCCCCACCGGGGCACCAAAGTCATCCTCTTCTCTTACCCACGGGTCAGGTACTTTTTGGGGAGAGAGGTATTCTTGGGGGGAAAGCTAGTTGGTGTGCGAACTGAAGCCTAATGAAGCATAAAAGAGTTCGACCCCGGATTAGGGCCAGAGCTCGCCAGGCTTCCGTTTCCCCATCGAATCAGAGCATAGTCTCGGTAGAAGGATAGGATTGCAATAAAGGCTATGAGGGTAGGCTTCCTTTAGAGTCAATAAACTTTCATTTCAAATAATCGACTCAGAAGTCGATTGGCCCCAGTTTGCCATTGAGCACTAAGGTGTGAGTTATTCACAACTGCACGATTAATCCCTTCTTGCATCATACAAATCAGCTGACCAGTTGCGTAAATACTATATCATTTGGGAAGCCTGGTAGCCTAAAAATATATATTAAATAAACAAACCTAGGTTCCCGAGGCTCTGCACCTTTGATATCACAAACAAACTTAAACATTCGCAATCAATTCTCTCTTTAGAAAATATGTAAAAGTACTCACTGTGAATAAATATATGCATTAGGTGTTGCTATTGAAAGTGTATCACGATATTTGAATTTATTTAATATACATAATTGTTACTCACTCATTCTATTGATTTCCCTGTGTTCAATATATTTGTTGTCAGTTTAAGGCAATCAAGGTAATCGGCTTAACCGAATGATTACACAAAGAGTGTAAAACATTGGCATTGTTCTTTTAAAACAATTATTAAAATGATTACTACTACTGGGTTTTAAACAGTACCTATATAAAATATTGGTATTCACAGATTTTAATAATACAGAATCATTACATGAATTGCAGCATTTTAGTAAAGTCAACATTTTATTTTCAGAGTACAAGTTAACAAATACATTAGATTTTAAGAAGTGATATCTATATTACTTATTTAATACGCAAGCAGGATTTTTGTGACAATTACTCCTCCGAAACTACTGAACCGATTGCCATGTTTTTGGTGTCATTGGAAAGAGCGTATCGTGAAGTTGTGCAGGAAACTTTCTTTTTAGGAAAATAATTAGAGAGTGAGGCCCTGGGGCCCTTTGAAGTTTCGTATTTCTCCATAAGATTAACATGGGAAACAAAAATTGTTTTGAAACTCCAGCTGTTGTCAGAAATTCAATATTAATAATTGGTCACCATGGAAGCAGGAGAAAATTCACAATGTTTACATTTGCTTTGACATTTAAATGTAAACAACCAGAACTGTCAAATGCCTATTTAAAAATTTCAGCCAGCTGATAAAAAAAAAAATAAAACAACTATGTGGCAGGTTTATTTAATCTTAAACTTTATGATAGATTATTTATTATAAATCTATGTCAATGATTATGAAACAGATTTTTCCCGTTGCAAAAATTAATAGTGAGTAAAAGAGGATATGTTAATTGTAAACAGTCGATGTGTAAATTATCTATATGTTGTATTACAAATGTTAAAAAAGATGTTGGTTTGTGTTTAATGATATAAGTTATTAATTATAGAATTTTTATTTTAAGGATTTGGCATATGAGTAAGCCTATGATGTAACACCATTTCAGAGTTCTGCCAGTGTTTGTCTAACTCTGTCATGTAGAGTTTAAAGTAGCCTACACCTTATTGTCTACAAATGGGCTAAAAAACTTAGGTACGGTACTTTATAAAAGCTGACAGCCTTTTTACGTTGACTTAAATTGTAAGCTTATCTTTTCCCGTCTATGGACAGTTTGATTGTTAAAAATTAACCCTTTAAACTGGAATAGGACTGTTATGTAAATTGTGAGTATTCCCATTAGTTATTAATCTTTTAGTTGTCTCTTTTAAAATCATCGGAAATTATGACTGTTTTAGTTTTTAAACAAGTTATTTGTTTATAAATAACTCCTGTACTTATTTGCAATTGCTCGATTTCGAGCAACATGTACACTACAGGGTGTCTAGTAGTCGGGAAAATCGGGAAAGTCGGGAATTAGTATTGAATTTCAAAATGGTCTTGAAAAGTCGGGATTTAGTCTTAAATTTGATTTCAAAGTCGGGAATTTTCATGATTTTGCCGCGATCGTCGTCTTGCGTTTACGTAACCGCAAAAGCCAATGATGATGTCTACACGGCCTCGGGAAATGTTCACGATTTTTCCGCGATAGTGGACGACGACGATGACGTTTTCCGAAACCACGAGAGACGACGATGACGTTTCCTTAACCGCGTGAGATGACGATGACGTTTCCGTGACCGCGGGAGACGACGATGATGTCTACACGACCGTGGGAAAGGTTTATGGTTTTTCCGCGATCGCGGACGATGACGATGACGTTTCTGAGACCTCGGGAGACGACGATGATGTCATTGATGTCTACAAGGCCGCGGGAAATGTTTATGATTTTGCCGTGATCGCGGACGACGTCGATCACGTTTCTGTAACCGCTGCAGTCAATGATGATGTCTCAACGTACAGTACGTGGAAGATTTCATGATAAAAAAAAACAAATTTGCTAGTTAGAACTTTTGATTGCTGCATTATTTCTTTACTTGAAAACACCACATTGTCATAATACTACTTTATGACAAAGACAGGGGTTGGTGTAGTATTATTCAGAAAATTTTGTTAAGCTTTAAAAATTGGTATCGGTATCAAGAATCGAGAATCGATACATTTCAGTATCAACACCCACTAATTGTTGAAAAAACTAGTCTTGAATAATCTGGAATTAGTCTTGAAAAGTCTGGAATTAGTCTTGAATTTTAGAATGGAAATAAACTAGACACCCTGACACTAGTAATATAAGATCATTGAAGATAATCATAGGAGGACATACATCAGATCTCTCACGGTCCATCAATCGGACTTCTGAGGTACTTAATACAAGGGCTCACACTTAACATCTTTATCTCCACTGCGCAGCTCTGTGATTTGTCCTCAGTAGTCTAATTAAAGTTATTTAAATTCATTTTCAAACCCCACCAGGGGGCAACTTTTTGGTATATTCACACCTCCATGAAATACCAAATTATATTACATATAGGTGTGAGTAAATGTTTTGAAGAGATGAAATGGTTAATATAAAGTAGAAGTCTTTTACTTTTCTTTACAAAAGAATATACCCTAGGGAATATTATTTTTATTTTTCTTTACACGGTCGGTAGTTTGAAACTGCTTCAGGAGGCCTAGCTCAGTAGTACAAGTTTATTCTGTACAATGTTAAACTCATTAATGTTAATTTTTTACCTTAATTTGCAGTGTTTGTTGAGTGAATATTAAGAGTTAATTTGCCTTAAGGGCTAATAGAGGTATGTGGGTAAAAAAAAAATAATAATTTGTTTTTACAACTTTTATTGGGTTTTTCTTATAAGTAGCCTATATTAGTCACCGGGAATTTCGTACTTTTTAGCCAGGAATTTTTTTTTTAGATTCTGCTGACAACCCTGGTAAACTACTCGAACAATCATATATTATAGCTATCGTATTTACGTTTTTCTTTGATAATCTTGTTTAATGGCTGCCAGGGTTAGTAAAATCCTCACAAATTGAAAGCAATTACCTATAGTGTATTACAGGGGAAAATGTAATGTACATAACATCCAACTAAACCTCAAACAGTATGACGACTTATGTATGTTAACATTATGTTTCAGATGTGCCTCCAGCTGGTGGTCCAACAAAGCCAGGTCCTAAACGTGACGTTAATCTTGGCAACTCTCCTCAGAAAAGGTTCAAAACAGGAAGTTAACCATGCCAATCTTAAAAATGTCATAATAAAAGTAAAATATTTATTGAAGTAAGTCAAGAGTAAGCTCTTTTTATTTGGTTTATATTTCCAGAGAAAAATTTTAGAGTTGTGCTGTGTAAATTGGGTTTAGGAACTTTAATAATTGGTGACCTACTGAAGATTACAATTTCGCAGCAAAATACGTCAGCAGTACAATAAAACTTTGATTATGCAGGATAATGAACACGGGAATAACCAAGAATAACTGGAAACAAGGGTTCAAGTTACTTGGCCAACTTGAAAATTACTCAAAGCGATTTAATGTAAATATTACAAAGATAATTAATACAAAGAAAGAAATCATGCTACATGTTTATTGTGTAAAACAGCTTTCAAAAGATGAGTGATTTGAAACAACATCATCCATTCAAATTTACTTGATAAACTTTAACTTTAAATATTCTATTAGCCATTGTTCAACATTGTGTTATTGCCATAGAAGAACACTTAACGCTTGTAAGTTAGTCATTCTGTTGTCATTTTACTCTCACCCTTCTTTCTTTCTTCCCACCTGCAAGTGGTTGTGTTTGGTCAATAAAAAAAACCTAATTTTTTATCTAGTTGTTAAAATCAAGCATCAAAAGCAATGAATGTTTTCATACACTCTTTTGAGTGTGAATTTTTTACCATGATTGACCTTTTCTGAATATTCCAGGTTTTACTGTACTGTACTCTCATAACAATAACCTTGATTTTAAAAATCACTATATTTAATAAGTTTCATATCTGAGTAAAAAAATTTTTATTTTTTTATACCAACGGCTTGTTTAATGTTTTATTTTTCTTTCTTTTATTTATTTACAAAATGTACTTTTTAATAAAACAAAGTGTTTGAATGTAAGCATAATGTTGTCAACTCTATAATCTCCCAGTTTTAGATAACTTGAGTTATAGATAATACTGATTGTTGGCGAACAATAAACTGAGTCGTTTTCTGATTCTTCGTTTCTCAAATTTTGATTTTTAATGGTGATTTTCCCATAAAATAGCATGAAAATCTGATTTTCACCAAAAATTTGAAGGTTTTTATTTAAAATGAGTATTTTATTAGTCCTATTAACTTTAACAAAACAGTACACCCCTGTTGCTGTAAAAATTACGGTTCATATGGTGAATTTTCCCATAAAAGTATCACAGTAACTCTCACCCCTCCAAAAGCACGATGAGGGTTGTTGACAAACTAATGGGAGAAAGTTGTGTCAATATTGCTGATACCGTACTGTTTTTTTGATGACATTTTGTTTGTAGCTCTCCAAAACAGTAATTTGTACAAAATAAAAAAAAATTAAAATATTTTTGGGGTTGAGAAACCCTTCAACCTTCTAAGGTTGATATATTGGGAGAATGCAAGAGTAAAATAACCAAACTTTCAACTACCTATACATGATGAGTGCATCTCATCCAAAACAGCTGAAAGCCATACACAATTTGGATTTTTGTATTACTAAGATTTAGGTGGTTTGAGGTCTTAAGGAGTAGTTTTACTGGGTACCCCCCTCACTTTTTTTTCCTAATGTATATTGCAGCTAAAATATGTTCATAAACAAGCAAACTACAACAGTTGACTTATTCTCCATAAGAATAACATGGGAATTTTAAATTTACAATTTTTTGGAATTGTCTCCGTAACCATTAGGCGCACAACAACGCTTCAATGTACTAAATTATTTGTTTTTTTAAGCTCCACAAAATGGGTTGGAAAGAAATTGTGAAATTTTGTGTTTTTATGGTCAAAAATGGGAAAACCCCATTTTTACCCCTTAAAACCCCATATAAAACCCCGTTCCCATAGTCCGATCATGCTGGTTCGCGAACTCGTTCAAATAAATGTAGGTTTGTACCAAATTTCATCAAAATCGGATAATTTTTGCTCGAGTTATCGCGCTAACGGACACATATATAAATATATATATATAAATAATATATATATATATATGAATTTGAACGGATGTTGTTTTTGGCCTCTAGGGACCTCAAAACAAAAAAGTAAATTGGTCCCGGATCCAGGTCTTACCATGAGTACTACGGTAATAGCTTATTCCCTATATGGGAAATTCGCTTAAACAAATAATTTAGTATGTTGAAGTGTTTTTGTACAGTTATTGGTTACGGAGAAAATAAAAAAAAAATGCCTATGTTATTTATATGTAGGCCTATTATAAATAACATCTATATATATTTAATACGCTAGGCATATTTTTGTCATAATTATATAGGCCTATTATTAACATTTAGGCTAAATATATATATATTTATTTATTTATATTTGTTTTTGGCCTCTGGGGACATTAAAACAAAAAATTTAATTGTCCCGGGTTCAGATCTTACTATGAGACCTACGACAATAGCTTGTTCGCTATATGGAAAATTCACTAAAAATGAGATAGGCCCTTTTGTGTAAAACCAGGTTGAAAATTACCTTTGGTCGCAACTGGTACGCTTCTAGAGGTGGTCAGACTACGCTGGTTGAAATGATTAGGGAATTTTAGAGAGGAGAGAATCGTTTTAGGCTTGATGTATAATGGAAAAGGATAGAGATTTACCTTGAATAGTTATATCTTTCTAATCTTGAATCTTGAGTTTAATAGTGTTGAAGAAAGAGAAAATCCTTTATAACTTTTAAGATATACTTACATAATCTAGAGATAATCACCACTAAATAAAAGTAAAAAGATTGAGGACAAAACTTAGATGTATTTCTTGACCATTTTGAACAATAACAACAATAATCACATGTAGTAAAAAATTGAAAACCCCAAAAAAATGTGTTGGTGACAGACTAAAATAAAAATCAATTATAGAATACTTAACACTGGTGGCTGGCACCAGCGAGTGCGAGTGATCACGTGACCTCTAGTCGCCGCTGCCTCGCTGATGGACAGATGAAACCTGGCACATGGATTTTAAGTAGAAATCGTGTACTCTCATGGCAGAAAACATCGGTCGGGGAAGACCGGGGCTCGACCCTTATTAGCCGCGCTTGAGTGGACATTGGCCGGTCGTTAATCACCAACTCACTGCATTGACACTTGGACACTTGTTCAGCTTATATTCCTGTATATTAAATCCTATCATGATTACAATTAGCTAACCTGCATTGTAATGTTATATGATTTTTAATTTAACTGCAAAATACATATGAATGTAATCGGTCTTTTAATAACATAGGCCCTGTCAGTAGCGGTTCCAGGAGGGGGCCATGCCCCCCCCCCCCCCCCGAGATTTATTTTTTATTTTTTTTTATTTAAACATTTATTTTATTTACATGAGTAGACTATTACACGCACATAAGCATGTTGGACTATAAGTGTCACTGAAGAATTGAAAGACTTGGACAAACTGTGTGTCTGGAAAATCGTTGGGAAACCCCGCTCTGCACTCTGTAGCGATGCAGTCTGGGCAGTGGGCGTGGCACCGCGTCCGCGCGCATCCGCGTTTCCTGCCATCCGGTACGTCACCGTGTCGATCATACCTCCACATTACGTTACACCTACACTTGTGGCTCAGCTCAGTATTCGTTTTGTTAATTTGTTACGTTTTTTGTTGTGTTTGTTATTAAAACACAGTTTTACAAGATATAACCAATGTTCATCTCCATTTGAGCGTCTTGAGCTCAAGCACCGGACAAGATTATAATGGTAAGTACTGATCATGAAAGTTTTCAAATCCTAGGCTTAGTTGTTTTCTAAGTTAGGTTAGCCTAGACTCGAAATTGAGCAACCGCCATTAAACTTACTACCACTCATGTGTAGACATTAACAAAGTCGCAGTGGCACAAACAGTAAGCGATTGTAAAATATCGATGTTATAATATTCATTGCGTTTGTGGTTTTTTCATTGCGACAATGCCACGGCAGTCGGCAGCGGACAGATCCGCAGAACAGAATGCTATTTTTGAAAAACTATAATAGTTTTGACGAAATCGTCGACAACTAGTTTATGTACTGACAATTTAGATACGGTAGTTAGTTGTTGTGTGGAAGTGGGTCTTGAAATAACCGAATTATTAAACTCGTCACCGCAACTTCCACATGTTATGTTAAGTTACGGCAATATAGCCAAATAGTAATAAACGCTGTGTATGTTGCGCTGTGGAGTGTGGGAATGGTACGTAGGTCGGAAGTCTCACAGGAAGTATACTGGTACGTATTGTTTGCTATCAAACCTGAGTTATTTTATGCGTTTTCACATTTTAGTTCTCCACTGATTCCCAGGTACTATAATTCTCCATTATTTTTGTAAAATAATGAGCAAATGTATTGTAGCAGTACACTTATGACTTGTTTTGATTTTAAATATAAAAAATTCTTAAAGTGATGTATTTTATTTTAGTAACCTATAAACATTCAGTTAATTAAGAGTGAAATCATAGTTTAATGTTAAACTATAAATAACGTAAGTTTCAAAACGGTAGATAATGCTTTGAGAAATAAAAATAAGTGGATACTGGAAATTATATTAATATATTTACATGTTGTAAATTATCGTCATTACTTTTACTTAAATGGCTTTTTCCAATTATTATTATCAAAAAAAAAAGCCATTTAAGTAAAAGTAATGACGATAAATTATGATGTTAGAAACTAGGACAATAATTCTATCAATTGCTAAAATACCTACTAAAATTAAGTTGCGTTGCTGGGAAACAACGATAACTTACATCTCTAGTATGATATCGGCCAGTTTTCAGTATAATGTAAAATAGTCCTCTTGTCGTTTTGGAATAAATTTCACAATTTATGCCTTGTAATTTGTTAATTTGATTTATTTACAGATTTTAACTTGAAATTCCATGAACATCGTATCAAACTTTGGAATAAATTTCACAATTTATGCCTTGTAATTTGTTAATTTGATTTATTTACAGATTTTAACTTAAATTGCCTATGGTTTGTATGTATACCTGTATATTGTATTCCGTTCGTTGTTCTAGGCATTCCAAAATGATCGGAAACGCTTGAATCCAAATCCAACAAGTTCGTACTTTAAAAAAGTAGACAAGAAAGATTACGTAACTCAGGATGCGTCCATGAAACTCGGTGACACACTGACACTCAGTCTTGATCAAGGGATATCTGATGCAGGCACCTCACAAAATGATGTCAATTCCATTCAGATTCATAACATTGGATCTAAAGAAACCCAAAACGTGAAGGCAAATGAAGCTTCGTCCACGATTGAGTCATGCAGCAATGACAGTATTTTCTCCAATGATATAGGATTGTTCATAAATAAAATTGTCGACGAATAAACAAAGTGTAAATTGTTGGAAAACCCATGGGTACCACCGAAATCGTACCAACTGCCTCATTCGGTGCACACAAGAGGAGGCAAGGAATTAAAACGTTATTTGGGACACCATCATCTAGAACAAAGGAGTTGGCTAGTTTATTCTCACGAAAAAAGGGGAATATTTTGTAAGTTTTGTGTGCTTTTTGCCGGCGAAAGGTGTGGCCACAACAAAGGTATGATAGCACAAAACCTCGTCACTCAGCCTTTGACCACTTGCGCTAAGCTTTTAGGTAAGCAGGGACATTTACAGTCCCATGAAGATACTTTGTATCACAAGTCATGTGTTCAAGCCGGCATTGATTTTCTTAAAAGTTATCACAATCCTCAGAAATCTGTTGAGAATCAGGTAGATACCCAACGAGGTAAAAGAAAATAGGGAACGACTTCGATCTATAGTGGAATCAATAGTATTTTTGGGCCGGCAGAACATCCCCTTAAGAGGTCATCGAGACGACGGCTGTTTGGAAGAGACAGCTGGGCCTAGCAATGAGGGTTATTTTAGGGCATTGCTACGTTTCAAAGTGGCGTCAGGAGA